TGATGCTACCAAAAAGCGTACCTGTCAACTTCCGAGCTTGACGGCTGAGAATGAGCACGAACGCGGTCTTCCGGTTCCTGAAACAAAGGCGTCGAGGTGTGTCCTCGTCGCCCCTCCGATGCTTAAGTTAGAGAGAGAATATGGGAAATATTGGATGCTCAAATCGTATGTAAAAACGTACCTTAATAATGGATGGGAGGGTTGTATTTATAGGGGTAGATAGTATAGTCCAAGTAGGATTCAACTCCTTATTTTCAGGAGTGATTGTAGGGACAAGCATTGGAGCACAATCAGGAGTCTCAAGGTACCTTAGTTGGAATGTTACCAGAGGGGACACACCTTCGTGGTTTAGGATTCCTGGGTCAAGGTGGTTGGATAGATCCAGGACTCTTTCCAGGGGAGGATTACTGCCACACCAATAGAGAGCACGATGAGGCGGGCGAAGTCCGAATACAAATATACCCGAGGAATATGTTAATTCCGATCAGTATTTGCCCGAGCAGTATTTGGCCTTTTCGAGGGAAGTTGGGGCTATAGTCCTCGGGCAATGAGCTCGGCTCGGCAGTATATGGTACGATCAATCTCCATTAATCCTTCTCTAATCCCCTTTCTTGATTACCAATTTTCTCTTCCATACATCTGTAGTTCAACTTGCATTTTTCCAATTTTTTTGCTAAAATGTCGAGTTTAGTATCTGTAAAAACTCCAGTGGAGGCTTCACCGTTGCGAATCTCAGTACTCGATGAGCCACATACCCCGATCTAACCGGAACTTTTCCGATCCGAACCCGTTAACCCGAAATCCAGCTCCCCAGCTCCTCGCCGTTCGCCCTCCCCTTCCCCACCCACTTCACGCACTAAGCCTTCTCCTGATCAGAGTTTCGACAAGAAGAAATCACCTGCGGAAAAGAGCCTTCTTGACGAATCCTCCCTCGAATACTTGGATCTCGACCCCTTTTTACTCAAGTTAGCTCGAGATACGATTACGTCAGGCGAGGGTCCGAGCAAGGCCCTTGACTACGCGTTGAGGGCATCAAAGTGTTTTGAGATGTGTGCGGTTAAGGGAGAACCGAGCTTGGATTTGGTGACGAGTTTGCATGTTGTTCCCGCGATTGACTATAGTTTGGGAGGTTTGAGGAGGCGGTGTCTGTTTTGGAATGAGCATTTAAAGTGCAGAGGTGTCGAGGGGTGAAAAATAAAATTTTAAAGATTTGAGATTGTGTGTGATACAAAAAAAATGGGTATAATTTGTAAAAGAATACAAAATTTGGATACTAAAATTGTAATTATTACTTTTTAATTTTGACATTTTTACTATTTTTAACGAAAGATATGACGGTAGGGGGTTTTTCGCATAAAATGTTTCAAATATGGGATTTTCCGAGATTTTCAATAGGTAGGGTGATATATCGCAAATGAAAACGCTTATAAGGGGTTTTCTACTATTACCATTTATTTTATATAAAAGAGGTTTTTGTTATTTCAATTTTGAAGTGAATAGGGTTATGACCTGTCACATCGATTACGTATAATGAAGATGTGAATGCAAACTTGCCCCTGTATGTCAATTTTCAAAAATGATTAGGTATAATGAAGGCGTGAACGCAAACTTGACACTGTAAGTCAAGTTTAAAAAACGAGTTAGGCTTTTAGAGATTATAATGTTATCAAAACGCTTGTGCCCCATTGAGAATTCCCTCATTTCTTTAATGTGGTTTCAAACGGCAAATAGGACCAATTTGATCGTGTTTAATCTAATATTCCACTCATTGGTCCTACTAAAGGTTAAATAGCATTACTCTATCATATTTTATTGTCGAGATCAACATGAAAGGTGGAAAATCAATCGTCACAATAGCAATTCCAATGTAAATCAGTAATTTCAGTTATCTGGGGTGATAGAGAATGCAACTAATTGCTTGAGGAGAGTTCAAATTACAATTTAACCAGCATGTCCAATAAAATGTTTGAATAAAGATTGTATTTAATCAACTTAAATTATAATTTAAACTTTACCAAATATGCACTTATTGAAGCTCAGCGACTGGATTGAAAACGAAAAAATGA